CAACACGCACTGTGGCAGCGCGGCGGACATTTCCTTGCCCTAAAAACCTATTAGAAATGAGAGGTCTGTGGCCAGCAGTGGGACGTATATAGTCTGTAACTATAACTTTAGAAGAAATATTATAATATATAGCAGGTAGGCATTTCACTGTTTTAAATTCTGGCACAACCAATAAATACGTAAAGAATAATTAAATTTTTATTTTTTCCTTACTTAGCAATTATAAGTGTTTATAAATAATTATGTTATAACCGGATAAGTATCAAAACTCAGTGACAAGCGTAATAAGTAATGATCAATTTTAACATTTTTTAATAGGATAATGGTGACATGCGAGCACACAGTCCAGCTGATGGTAAGTGGTTGCTCATGCATATCTACATTTACCCTCGTTTGCGAATAAAATGATGATGAAAAGATGACTCTTTTCCAGTAAAAAGGGTCTCCGGTTCTCTACGCTCACCATATGAAAGACATCAGCATTAAGTTGCTATTTTGCGCTGTTATTCTGTGAGAGCGTAGTCCTTTCCCGGTCGGGCTGACCCATTCGTGCGACAACTATACAATTAATATTGATGCAGCATGGCTCTACCACGTTAAAATAACAAGTTAATATAACCTACCACTTACCACCTATTTCTGGGTGGTAGGACTTCTTTTCTGCCTAAAATTCCGTCTGGGTAGGTACTACCTTCTTACCTATTTTTGCCACCAACAGCAAGCATGAAGAATTTCAAAAGCCAGATTATTCCTCAAATTCGACGAAATAACCCGGCTTAGAAATAAAAAATAGTTAAAAATCGCTCACCTTATAACGTCGATATTACTTCAAGTAATTAGAATTGGGTACTTTCTGCGATACGAAAAACACGGCACCTTGCTTGAATATAATTGCACCATCGTTAAAAATGCATAAAATTTAAAATCGACTGCAAAAAATTAATAATACCAATGTTGTAAGTGTTGAATACACTCCCCCCCCCCCCCACCCCACCTCAGCCTACGAATTGGGAGCATATATGTAAAAAAAAATACTGACAGACTTATTTCAAATAACCATCTACATGCACCCATCTACTTTAGAATGGTCTTGACTATAGATATAGTCAAGACCATCCGCTGCAGTAGCCACTTACCACCAGGCAGACTGTTAGTTGTTTGTCACTACAATTTTATTTAAAAAAAATCTCTACGTTTTCTTAATGAGCATTCGGTGAGCCCTATAGCATTGTCGTACAAGCACCATAAGACTCTAACAGCCGCCTCTAGTTTTTCCTCCTCAGCCCTTAAACTCCACTGCAGGACATAGGTCTCTCCTGTTATAGGAAGAATACGCCTTAGGCAGCACGCAAACATCATAATACCTATATTATGTTTCCGTATTAATACGGAATAATCCCTTAGAATTTAAAATGTGAATTCTGGCCGCGAAGTATTTATTTGTTTCTTTCCGTTAGGAATTTATTTTGAACACGGCTGGCTTTCTTTTTAAAACGATCTTCCGGAATTGCTTCCGTCCGGAAAAATGTATTATTGTGTGCGCCATATAGAAGGATTTGTATGAAATGCGTTCGTCGCGTACCCGAAGGAGGAAAACGTATCGGGAATCCTTATTAGGAAACCTGACGTTTGCATCATTACCGCTACATTGACTATCGCAGTACTAAACGTCTCGCACCTATACCACGGCTGGCAGTTGTCGATCCGGGTAACTTACGTCTTGCGGTTTATTTTTATAGGAGAGGGGGCAAACAAGCATACGGCTCACCTGATAGTAAGTGACTACCGGCGCCCATGAACAAATGCAACACCAGGAGAATTGCAGGTGCGTTGCCGGCCTTTTCGAAAGCAGTAAGCTCTTTTCTTGAAGGCCCCTAATTCGTATCGGTCCGGAAAAATTGCCGTTGGTAAACTATTCCACAGAGAAATCGTACGCGGAAGAAAACTGATAGTAAAACGATATGGGAACGCCAAGCATCCAGTTGGTGTGGATGGTATCGGGAGTTTAAGCTGCCATCACTATAACAGCCAATAAAATCCACCGCTGAACATAATCCTCCCCCATAGACTGCTTTATAGACTACTTCATAGACTGCTTCATAGACTGCTTCATAGACTGCTTCATAGAATTCTTCATAGACTGCTTCATAGACTGCTTCATAGAATTCTTCATAGACTGCTTCATAGAATTCTTCATAGACTGCTTCATAGACTGCTTCATAGACTGCTTTATAGACTGCTTCATAGACTGCTTCATTGACTGCTTCATAGATTGCTTCATAGAATTCTTCATACCGCTTCATAGACTGCTCATAGACTGCTTCATAAGGGGGATTTGCTGTAGTTGTTACGCTTGGCAGAAGAGTTAACAATCGCACCTTTTTATAATTTTGAGTTTTTATTAGGGAGATGCTATTGCCTATCTCCTGTTTCAGTTTCCTTCTGTCGCCTCCTTGAGACCCACGAGGCTAAATGTGGTAGTGGATATTCTTACAGCGCCACTAGACGATTATACTGATAATGCCATACCATATTGTTGTAACACGGCCTCTGCACACTATATACTGGCAAGCAGCAGAGCAATTTCCCTTGTTAGATATATAGATAGATACTCTACGCCAAAAAATATATAAAAATAAACAAAAATTGAGAAAAATAATTTTGATACAGTTGGCGGTGGTGACAATCTTTGGATGGACAGGATTTTTTTATAGGATAAGGGTGGCAAACGAGCACACAGTCCACCTGATGGTAAGTGATTGCTGTGGCCCATAGACATCTACATCTATCTTCGATTACGAATCAAATTGCAGATGCGTTGTAAGCCGTGAGGACTAAGATGGAATGCCTCGTTTCCAGTAAAAAGGGTCTCCGGTTCTCTACACTCACCATACGAAACACAGGAGCGTTAAGCTGCTATTTTACGCTGGTATTCTGTGTGATTGGATGGATTGCAAGAAAACAATAAAAACATTTTGCCATGTGAAGGATAAGAGAACCAATATTGTTATAGGATGAAGCATTTTACTTTAGTAGTCAGGGGTGAGTTCTTTGTTTGAAGTTGATTGCAGATGTCCATGGACTGCAATAGCTATTTACCAGGACATCAGATGGACATGACAGTCACTCTAACATTCAAAAAACTGTGGCAAAATTGTGCCAGGCCTCGTTTTTACCAACCCATGTTCGACGAAACCTTGTGGCTTAATATCGGATAGGCTAGATTGCATTATTTGAATGTGACGAAGTGAATAATGCTATATCAAAATTAGTGCATTGATTTAACGTTAATAACCTACATTTAAACGGAAATAAAACTAAATGTATTACGTTTACAACAACGAATGTTAAACATCTGAATACCAATGGTTTTTAAATGGGGAGGAATTGAACCCTGTTGTATCCACTGTTTTTCTTGACATCACTCTTGACGCAAAGCTCCAGTGAAGCCCCCATATATCCAAATTAGCAAGCAGACTAAGTTCTGCAGCCTATGCTGTAAAAAAGATTAGAGGTATCACTAGTGTCGAGACAGCTAGATTAGTTTATTTCAGTTATTTCCATAGCATAATGTCTTATGGGATTTTGCTATGGGGAAATGCGGCTGATTCAGAAACTATTTTTGTTTTACAGAAGAGGGCCATTAGAGCTATTTACAACCTAAAACCGAGAGAGTCTCTTAGAGATAAATTTAAAGAAATAAATATATTAACTTTGGCCTCTCAGTATATTTACGAAAATTTAATGTACGTTCACAAAAACAAAGGTAGTTTTAGTAAAAAAGTGATATACATTCTGTAAACACTAGGAATAAACACCAGCTAGTGATACCAGTTTCTCGACTCCACAGAGTCAGTAATTCATTCTTGGGGCAATGTATACGCTATTACAACAAGGTCCCAGAAAGTGTACAGGCTCTCTCTATTAGCAAGTTTAAATGTTTTGTTAAGTTGAAACTGTATAAAAAGGGTTATTATAGTAAAAATGAATACATGGTTGATAATAACCCCTGGGAATGAGGTGATCGCTTCCAAGCTGTTTCTAAAATAAATTTTGTACTTATATAGTTTGTACAAGCATTAATGTAAGATTTTCTTAAAAAAAAAAAAGTCCCGCTGAGTTTCTTGCTGGTTCTTCCCAGGACAGAGTATTTTTTCGAACCAGTGTTAAAGTAAAAAAATACTTTCAATAAGAATCACACATGTAATCTATTTTGAATAAAAAATTATTCTATTTTATTCTATTCTATTCTATTCTATTAAAAAACAGAGACAGTTGCAAAACAACCAAATGTCAATGTTAATCTTTATATTATACTAGCGATGCGCCCCGACTTCGCAATGTTGATTTCTCTTTCGACCAGCTTTGTGATTCCAATCGTACGAGAAGCCAGAAACTATTAGTCAGCAATTTCAGGATCTCGACCACAGCGCCACCTACCGGGTCCAATTGTAAATTTACACCATCCAGGTGTTTACCCAAACACACACGAATTTCATCAAAATCGTTCGAGCCGTTTTCGAGTTTTAGAACGACTAACTAATAGCTATTGATTTTTATATACAAGATATAACTCTTCGGTCCGTGTGTATATGTCTGAACTCCTCCTAAACGGCTGGAATGATTTTGATGGAGTTTTGTATTTGTGATTATGTTGATTAGAGAATGGTTTAGATTCACAATTGAACCAGGCAGCGCTTTAGTCGAGACCAAGAAATCGCTGGCTAAAAGTTGCTGGCTTCTCGTGTGATCGGAATCACAAAGCCGGTCGTAAGATCAACGCATGTTAATTTTCACGAACCACCAACGTACCTTATCGAGATTTTTTTATCGGTAACAGATCTTATCCGCATATATCTCGATAAATTTATCCTCTTGGTCACGTTTGCAAACCGATTAGGATTTTTATTTTATTTAAATATCAGTAAGAAGAATCCAGCGGAGCGCAATGTGGTGAGAGATATAGAGTAGTGAAGCACAGAGCTCGAGGAAACAGAAAAATGCTAAAGCTTCTTATCAAGTTAAGTGCCCTGTGCATTGGACTCAGTCATGCGACGTCAACTACATGTCAAAAATTGCAACAAACACAGGTAAAGAATATTTGTAGTCTTGCTTCATGTTTCTCCGTTTCTTAATTGTTCTTCGTTTTCAGCCTGACAAAGTTCACTGCTGGGCATATGCTTTAATTTTTTTAATAGAATAATTATTACAAACGAGCACACAGTCTACCTGATGGCAAGTGGATGCTGTGGCCCGTAGACATATACATTTACCCTCGATTAAGAATCAAAATGCAGATGCGATGTCACCCGTGAAGACTAAGATGGAATGCCTCTTTTCCAGTAAAAAGGATCTCCGGTTCTCTGCACTCACCATACGAAACACAGCAGTGTTAAGCTGCTATTTCACGCTGGTATTCTGTGAGAGCGTAGTCCTTCCCCGGTCGGCCCGACCCATCCGTGCTACAATTATACTACTAATATAGTTGCAGCATGGCTCTACCACGTATAAAATAATGTTTTAATAATTTCGCTACTTAATTATTTCAGCTGACGTCGCTCAACGAAAGAATGAACCAGATGATCGAAGCACTTTATTCTTCATGTAAGTTGATCTACCTTGTAAACAAACAACATACTTTCGTTCGTATTGAATTTTAGCTGAAATGGCGGAATAACGAAGGCAATTAACTAATTGCTTTTTTAATATAATTTTCTGTTAATAAAGTTGTATTCATCGCAAAAACAATACGGTAGCGCAGTCACTAAGCGGCTGGCATTGCGAAGCCGTGGGTCCGAATCCCGCACTGAACAAGTGTTTAAGCTTTAAAAACACCTACAAATAATTGTTTCCGGTTTGGACGTTTGCCTATAATAAATCTAACTTGAGAGAGCGGCCATTTTGAAAAACTTACATAACTGAGTGATTGAGTTGTGAGATGATTATGTTGTCACAAGCACTTAAAGTGCCTGCAAAATTGTAGTTTAAAATGTTAGATAGAACGAGTTTGAAATTTAGTTGCAAGATTTGACCAACTAACAAGAGAAGTTAGGTAAATAGAACCTTCTACGAGGTATAAACGATCATATTATCATTCCATAGTATTGTTCTTATTAACTTTTATAGGTTCTATTAGAGTTGACCATTTTAGAAAGTCAACCCTGGTAAGCCAGGTAACTTGAATACTTTAACTATCCACTGCGTAAAAGATACCATAGTGCATACTAGTTACAGTATCAAAAGACTCGCACCTTTGATGTTGATTCCCGTAGGCAGGCAAGTTTTTATATTTAGCATGCATTTACAAGATTGATGGTTATACTACTACCTATAGATCTAAGGAATATTTAAGACTAGCTGATACCCGCGACTTCGTCCGTGTTGTTTATCATGAGGCAGAGGTACAATAGACTTCCCTTCTCGCTTGCCCCACTTCTCCGCGGCAAGAAAACACACATCACTGAACACGTAGTGCTTATAAAAATCGTGGTTTCTTAAAACTTTAAAGAAGACATCGCAATATTTTTTTTAGATAAGGGCCAAGAAATAATACTTAGGAAACCTAATTGAAATCTATCCAGTAGTTTTTTTCTCTATCATTTTTAATAGATATTTCCTCAGTCACTTACAACACCCACAGAAAATGGCGTAATGGATTATCTTGTAGCACTGCCACGGCAAAATGGATTCTACATCTTGTTTTCTTTTCTGCCGACTTCCAAAAAGGAGACGGTACTCAAATCGACGCGTATGTTTTTTTTTTTATGTGTGTTAACTCATAACTTTTTACTGGGTGAACCGATTTCGATGATTCTTTTTTTATATGAAAGCTGATACGTCTCGTGTGGTCCCATATGAATTTGATCAAGGTCAGACCAATAGTTTTTGAGTTATTTGAGTTATTCTTAATAACTTATATTCAAGTCGGCTGTACAAAATTTTTAATTTTAAATTATTAATTAACCCGTGGCGTAATGATGATATATTCTGCATTACGTCGCGAGTTCTGAGTACGGTCCAACGTTTGTTCGAAATGACCAAATGTTGGTTTTCGGGCTTGTGTTTGTTATGATTGATCGGCCGGGGAAAGAACACGCTTGCACAAAATCTTCTTTTTGTTCTTCTTCATCAGCCCGTAAAAGCCCACAGCTGGATATGAGTCTTTCCCGTTCTAAGGAGATTTCGCCTACTATTGGCAAGCACTTTGATGGTCACCGTACCAGCTGCTTAACACCTTGGCCGCTACTTCCCATCATCGGTATATATATATATATATACGTACCGATATATATATATATATATATATATATATATATATATATATCCCATAGTCATCTTTTACGAATCTATACCCAAGGGATGACAGATAGATAGATTCTCTAACACCGCCACTATATGGCAGATATACACTTTACACAGTTAAAACCAAAATAGCAGTATAATGCTACTGTGTTATGTATGGTGAGCGACGAGAACCAGAGGCTCTCTATACTGGTAACGTGGCACTTCATCTTAGTTCTAAGGTGTGACATTTGATTCTTAATCAAGGATAAATGTGTGTTTGTGATACTGTATAATATGTGTAGCGCAGGTATCTTCCGATAATAATCAAATTTTGTTACCTTCCCCATTTTGAACACTATAATATATATATATATATATATATATATATATATATATATATATATATATTGTATATATTATATTATTATATATATATTGTACGTGGTAGAGCCATGCTGCAGCATATTAGTAGTAGAGTTTTAGCACGAATCGGCTCGACCGGAGAAGGACCACGCTCTCACAGAAAACCAGCGTAAAATAGCAGCTTAACGCTGCTGTGTTTCGTATGGTGAGTGTAGAGAACCGGAGACCCATTTTACTGGAAATGAGGCATTCCATCTTAGTCCTCACGGGTGACGACGCATCTGCATTTTGATTCTTTATTGAGGATAAATGTGGATGTCTATGGGTCACAGCAACCACTTACCATCAGGTGGACTGTGTGCTCGTTTGTCACTCTATCATATAAAAAAAAAGTATATAAATCTTATTAACCATTGAGATAAAGTTTATGAAAAAATTTTGTTTCTAACAGTACTTTCGAAGCCGAAATCATCAAGCTCAGAAACAGAAAGCAGTTCAGAATCGGCAACGGGACTTAATTATTCTCCAAGTACAGTTTCCTACGAAACGGCATATTATCCACAAGCGTATTCAATGCCAGTGACTGCTGCACCGCAATACATATATTACTCACCATCTCAGCCTCCAGTGCCAACAGCATTACCATTTGCACCACCTTTGTTACCTAATCCTCCAATGCCCCTGCCTCCACCGCCCCTCCCAAATTCCTACTACTCATTGCCTTCAGAACCGCCAGTCCCGTCCCTGGAGTATCCATATTCATTAAAAACAGGACACGCATGGCCATCAATCTACTCCTATGAGCAGTACTCGTATCCCCAACTACCGTACTCACCACCCGGGTTATACTCGCCACCCTCACCGCCTGTATCACATTCACCGCCGCAGTATTCACATCCCACACCTCCACGGTCATACGAATACAAGTTTTATCCCACTGAATATCCACCACCTTCCAGTCCTCCCAGACCTTATCAACCAGTTCCATCTCCACCTCATTATGCTCCATTACCTGAATATCCTACACCTCCTCCGGCCCACTCATACTCTAATCCACAATACCCAGGCTATCCGATATACTCATACTGATAGAGTTACAATATATTTTAATGTATGTATTGCTTGTATTAACATAACTTAATAAATTATTAAATTACTTGTGTTTTTTTCTTTAATCTGGTTACTCTAGGTAACTGGTTCCTAATTTTGGGTTGCGATTGATTCTAGTGGGTAATGAAAATTAACAAATAAAAATAAACACAACCCAATCAACTCTATTTTCAATGAGAGCTCAGTAGTTAGGTTAATCACCTCACTTATTAGTGAGGTAAAATCACATTCAAATTCTTCATACACATTCAAAAAAGAATTTGAATATGTTAAAGGTCACCAGCCAAAAGGTTAAGAACCGTAAGACATTATTTGGAGGTAAAACGTAATTTATAAATAAATAAATTAAATTTACTACTTTGTATCGGCTCAACCGGGGAAGGACCACGCTCTCGCAGAATATCACTATAATATAGCAGCTCAATACTGTGCCGTGTTTCATATATGGTGAGCGTAGATAACCGAAGATCCTTTTTACTGGATACTAGGCATTCCATTTTAGTCCTCAGGCGTGACTACCTATCTGTATTTTGATTCTTAATCGAGGATGGATGTAGATTTCTATGAGCCACAGCATCTACTTACCATCAGGTGGACTGTGTGCTCGCTTGTCACCCTATCCTATGAAAAAAAATAGAATTTACTATTTTCTCTTTATTTCACTGTATGTGAATAACTGTTCAATTTGAATCCATCATTGGACAACTGGAAGCACTTCTAACGAAGATAGTACTGTACGATATAGTACAGTTTTCGTTAGATATATGTAGTATAGTTTACACCACACATTATGACCTGGTAAATTTGTGTTATTACAAATATTTCTTATTTTACTACAGAATTTTGGATACAGATGTGGTACAGAAATCTCACACATGAACAACGATACCTTATCACCCACACCATTTATAATTGTATTAGTGCGTATTTTGATTATAAACAGACCCTACGATTGAAGAATTTCTAACAACCGCTAAGCTTTGCAGATGGCTCAGCGTTCGCAGTATCAAACGCAAGATATTCTGTTCACAGCAGTGTCTCAACAGCCACGCTGGGGCATGCAAATAAGCATCTACATGTGAACTTTATATTCCTTCACATATTTTGATGGCCTTTTTTCTGATTTAGCCTTTAATCAATTGTTACAACACACAAAAAACAATGGTATGGGTTCTCTTGAAACTTTTGGTTGCTTTTTATTTTGCTTTGTGTGTGTTGTCATGAATATGACTATATATACTATATATAATATCATTTTAGGTAAATTTTAGAAAAACAAAAAATAAGTTTTTTTGCTGTTTTTCTTTTAAACTTGTTTGCTTGATTTTGCCAGATAAAATGTTTTTTTTTTCGCTGTGTAATAGCAAGACGTTCTGAACGAAGGTGAAGATTCTAATTATAAAAGCAAAACAAAATTTATAATTATAATTTAGAGTTAAGTAATTCTACATATTATTTAATTGCTCTGATCAAGCATGCCCTATCAAAAAATGCAATTACTACTGATAAATACGATGATAAATATTTTCCAAACTCTTTCCTAACTAAATGATAATGTCATATATAAAGCAAATGAGTAAAAGAAGCAAACATCACATTGTGTTCAACATGGCATCCCTCAACTTCATTCTGGTGTTATTGGTTAAGGTAAATATACAACTTCCAATACAATTTACATTTTTTTTATAGAATTAGGATGACAAACGAGCACAGAGTCCACGTGATGGTAAGTGGTTGCTTTGGCCCATAGACATCTACATCTATCCTCGATTACAAATCAAAATGCAGATACGTTGCCATCCGTGAGGACCTCAGCAACATTATGCTGCTATTTTACGCTGGTATTCTGTGAGAGCATGGTCCTTCCGACCCATTTGGGCTACAACTACACCAGTAATATAGCTGCAGCATGGCTCAACCACGTGGAAAAATATTATTTTTAGTTATTATTTAATTATTTACATGTTTATTATTATTTTGAGCTCTAAAGAATTGACATAAAGCAGTTTTAAATATCATGAATATGTTTACAGGTTGTTTTAATTTATGCAGAGATAGACGACGATAGTAATGAAACTGAAATCATAAATAGTTCGCCCGAACTTGATGATGAAGTTATCAAAGACTTCAAAGAAGCGAAAGAGAATTGGATCGATACTTTCTTAGAACCAGACACAATTCTTTTCCCCTCATCGTCAACCGTATCAATGGAACAAGTATTAAAATCAGATAAATCACCAGAAGAACAATTAGAAGAAATCAAAGAAATAGCTACAACAATAACACAAGCAATTCAAAGTGAAATGGCCAACCTTCTTAGTTATGCTCTAAGCATAGCCGATAAAGACACTGAAGAAAACAATCAGAGGAAAAAAAGATCTATTGATTCTCCAATGGATAGTACTAAGCTTGTGTGGAGACTTTTGAATCATATCAAATGTAATAATGAATATCAGAATATCGCTATTGAAAAAATGATGTCAGCTCAAGAGATTGCTGACAAATATGGAATAGAATTTAGTCCTGATACAGAGATTTTATCAGAATTAGCTGTGGCAGCTAATGAGCAAGCAAAAGAACTTACATCTATTTTAAAGGATGCTTGCGATTTAAAGAATGTTACTCAAAAAGACTTAGTTCTTAATGAAAACAAAGAACATTGTATACAAATCGAAAACCCTGAAAATACGACTTATCCCATTTATTCTCATAGCCTGTTTGAACAAGACGCAAAGACTAATAACACAGCAGCTCATATTGATGAACACTTGCCAACTCATGCAGAATTTCATCACGTCCATTACGCTGATCCGTACGCTACCTACAGTTATTACTTTAATCATCCTCACGAAACACAAATCCCATCACCGCCAACAAAGGATCAATACTACAACTCTCCAGTTACTCCAAAACAAACTTTCTACGACGCAGTATCTTACAATCCAACATCTGAATATTATGGAACTTATTGTTCTCTAGAACCCCAATCATCAACATATGTAATTCCCATTGATAGTTTTATGGAACCCGAACCAGATTTAGTAGGTGAAGAGTTTGAAGAAATCATTTCTTCTAAAATTTACGTTGACCACGAGGAACAACCTGGTGTAGCAACTGTCAACCATGTAATGACTTATACAATTTCTGAGAAGGCTCATTACAGAACACCTCAAATTGAAAGTCTGCCTCAACAAATGCAGTACTACTTTTATTTAATGTAGGTTATAATCATTTAATTTTGAAAATACTACTTTGAAAACAAAGATATGATGTAAAAGTAGCATTAAATATCAAATAGAAACTGTATAGAATAAAAGACATTTTGTTTTGATTTAAAGTTTATTTGATTTTAATAAATATACAGTAATATTTACCAAATCTTATTATATCATAAATTATCCTTTGGTTACATTTGGTACATTGACTGGACTGCATTCGTGTTCATTTTTTTGTTTAAAATGAGTTCGAATGCTTGTAATGAGATAACTTCTCGTATAATATATAGTTTAAACATATCGGTAACATTTTACTTTTGTCAATAGTTGCCTAAACTATCTTAAACCAAAAAGAAAATTTAGTTATAATAATACAAAATATATTTAAAAATAATATTCAAAGCAATTAGCAACTTTTGTTTCTATCTACAATTGAATATGTAATAAAATAACATAAGGCGTAATAAGAAGTTACGTTACTAGAACGTGACATATCTAATTTGTTAGAGGTTACTAGAACTATTGCAAGTAGTAGTTCATTTTACACAACTATATTGATAATGTACTATACTTTATCTGGACATGTGTAAAAGAAGAAAACAGGGAGGAGTTATAAAGTAAGTTGGTAATTTTATTGCACGAGAATCGTAATTTATAATTCGATGTTAGTTATTCGTTGTGTTATGACACATCGTTGCAACGAACACGGAGCCTGAGTCAAATTTCCGCGATTTTATTTTAAAAAATCAGCGTATTTCGTCAATTGGAAAACAGGCCAAGATCACGACACCGCACGCTGTATCACACACTATTCACAAATAAATAAAATTGCACAAATGTTTTGTTTATTCTAGGAATTGTCACCGTTATATCAAATTGTGCAAGGTCGCTGAGGATCTGTATCTGGAATTCCCGTATTAAAAGGTTTTGTTCTTCATTTTCTCCCGTGTTACAGCTCAATGTGTTTGGCATGTATATATTAATACTATATCACAATCCTATTCTGCGGTAGAATTTTGTACCTATCTATGGGCGTAGTATGCAGTGTAGGCGGTATTTGGGCCTGCGTGTGGTTGATACCTGAAAAATAAGTGGTAAAATTGAAAATGTTGTACAACCGACTTCAATATAAATAAAAATAGAATATCATCAGTGTAGACGAAGTCAATTAAATACGCATTATTAAGGATAACTCAAAAACTACTGGTCAGATCTTGATCAAATTTATATGGGACCACGAAATCGCTTCACCTAGAAAACAGCTCTGAGGTAACAGAACACATAGAAAAAAATACAGTCGAATTCAGTACGTCCTCCTTTTTTTGAAGTCGTTTAATAAGGAAGCATTAACAAGATTCAGTGTAAAATTTATGAATGAACATATTAAAGGAAATAACTTTTTTATTTTTTTTAAAACGTTACCACGACACTAGGATTTTCTCCTGTATCGTGGAGGCAGTTTACAAACTTAAATTGCACGAGGACAAACATCCAGACCCGTTAAATTATTTATAGGCCATACAAATAGTTATTCTGTGCGGGATTCGAACCCGCGGCCCCCAGCGCAACAACTTATTGCTAAGCCACTGCGCTACGGAGCCGTCGTTTCACTGCCCGTGAGGCTTATCTACAGGGTATCTACAGAATATCAGCACTGCAGTATAACGCTGAGTCGGATGCTTATTTTTTGCAACAACGTTATGGTAATGTACAAATTTAAACAATTAATTCGCGGAATACGTACATAAAAAGGCTTAAAAAATATTATCAAACCTAAAGCTTAACAAGATTTTCTGTTGCATTGGGACCTTGCGGTGCTCGAATCTGTAGTGGTGGGTACGGTAGGGTTACCAGGTGGAAAATTTAAAAGTCCTGACAAATAACCTGATTTCCACAGTAAATTCCTGACATTTTGATGCAAACGGTATTAACTACTGTAGAATAAATATACAAATAAATTATTAATTTTGTATCATGCGGTCAATTCACGTCGCAGATTCCATCCCTCCATTTTATTGAAGTATTGAAAAAGCCTGACATTTCCAAAATCCGACCGTAATCCTGACAAGAATCCAAATTTTTTGACATGTCAGGAGAAATCCTGAGATATGGTATTTCTGTGTACAATGGACCCTACTTTCTGTGCATCAACAAGTAGTGTATGAAGATTTAAGCAAGGGCAAGGGTCTGCAACACTTCGTTTCACCAATCACACAATTTTAATTGGTACCGTTACGTGAAATAAATATGTATATGTACTTCTGATGTAGTCAAATATTTGATTTGTAGCTGAAATTAAAAAGAAATAGAATAAGGGGGCAAGCGAGCACACGGTCCATCTGGTGATAAGTGGATGCTGTGGCCAATAGATATCTTCATCTAACTTCAATTAGCAATCAAAATGCAGGCGTGTTGTCACCCCTAAGGACTAAGATGGAATGCCTCGTCTCCAGTAAAAAGGGTCTCCACTCTCCATACGAAACAAAACAGCATTAAGCTGCTATTTTAGAAAGTTATTCTAGGTATTCTGTGAGAGCGTGACCCTACCGACACATTTGTGCTACTATCATAATACAGCTGCAGCGTAGCTCTACCACGTATGAAATTTGGTACTGACTTAGTTTAACAATAGTCTATACACTCTTGCCTTGAAGATACATTCTAATTGAATAGTATGTCCTCCGGATCGAATTTCGGTCACGGCGGCCAGCTCAACGAAGACTAGCCATCGGCGCAAGACAGGATTATAGCGCCCTAGTGTATGCGCAAGCACAGGTGCACTCTTTATTCCTTCGCTCTCAAAGTCCGATGGAAAGGTAAACCGATACGATCGGAGAGAGATCGGGCGCAGGACCAACGGTTTTAAGTGCTATTCGAGGCACGGGGATGAGACAGCGCCAACTTCCTGACTCCGGGCAGCTACTGAGAATTTCATGATTTTTTTTTATAGAATAGGGGGCAAACGAGCTTGCGGCTCACCTGATGGTAAGTGACTACCGCCGCCCATGAACAACCGCAACACCAGGGGAATTGCAGATGCGTTGCCAGCCTTTTAGAAAGGTGTAAGCTCTTTTCTTGAAGGTTCCTAAGTCGTATCGGTTCGGAAAATTCGCTGGTGGTAATTGATTCCAGAAAGAAGTTGTGCGAGGGAGAAAACTTCTTTTAAATCGCACAGTGGTGGACCGCCAATCATCCAGATGGTATGGATGGTAACGCGAGTTTTGTCGCGACGTGCGATGGTGAAATTGAGTGGCTGGAATTAGTCCGAACAATTCCTCAGAGCACTCCCCGTTATAGATGCGATAAAATACGCAAAGAGATGCAACATCTCTACGCAGTGCCAGTGTATCGAGCCGATCGGAAAGAACTCCGTCGTCAACGATTCGAATCGCTCTGCGCTGGATGCGGTCAAGTGGAAGGAGCTGGCACTGGGGTACCCCGGCCCAGAGATGAGAACAGTATTCCATGTGGGGCCGAACTTGCGCTTTGTAAAGTTGCAAGCGATGTGCCCGCATGAAATACTGTCTCGCTCTGCTGAGCACGTCAAGCTTTTTAGAGGCCAATTTGGCCTTCCCTTCCAAGTGACCACGAAACTGCACGCTATTCGATATGTCGACGCCAAGGATTCCGATACTGGCTGAGGTAGCAAGGGGAGTGCCTTGAAACTGAGGAGATACGACAAAGGGGTTCTTTTTAGCGGTAAACGTGCAAACTTGTGTCTTCTGGGGATTGAACTGGACTAGATTTAGTCGGCCCCAATCCGAGACTAGCATAGCAATGAATGCTACCAGTTAGCAACATATCATTGATATGCAGGAGAAATAGCGTTGGTGATAGCACGCAGCCTTGTGGAACCCCAGCGTTGATAGGCTTGAAATCAGAGCATGCACCGTCTACTACGACCTTGATACTCCGATCAGCAAGGAAACTGGTGATCCATTTGCACAATTTCTCGGGAAGCCCATAGGAAGGAAGCTTCGAAAGAAGCGCTTTGTGCCAGACCCGATCGAAGGCCTTCGCTATGTCCAAACTAACGGCCAATGCCTCTCCCTTGGACTCTACTGCCTCCGCCCATCTATGAGTTAAGTAAACTAGAAGATCACCTGCTGATCGACCCCGACGAAAACCGTACTGACGGTCACTGATCAGCTGGTGATCCTCAAGATACCTCATGAGCTGGCAGTTTATAATGGATTCCATTATTTTGAAGAACAAGGAGGTGATGGCGATAGGCCTGTAGTTGGACGGGTCTGAGCGGTCGCCTTTTTTAGGGATCGGGTGGACCAAAGCTGTCTTCCATGAATTCGGGACTACGCCTTGGGAGTAGGAGTACCGGAAAAGACGCGTTAAAACCGGTGCCAACTGCGGAGCACACGTCTTCAGCACAGTGGGAGGGACTCCATCGGGCCCACTCGACTTGCTGAAGTCCAGGGAGAAGAGTGCTTTGCGAACCGAGCGCTGTGTAAATGCACATCCGGCATGGAGCACTCACATCGCGGGATGGTCGGCGGTGTGTTCCCCCCGTCATCTAGAGTCGAGTTAGACGCAAAAAGAGAGCACAACAGATCGGCTTTCTCTTTTGCGGCACGGGCCAGTGAGTCGTCCTCTCTGTGCAGAGATGGAAGGGATGGCTGACAGAAGTTCCCTTGAACAGCCTTGGCGAGAGACCAGAATGCACGGGAAGGCGAACTAGCTTCTCGCCAATTCTGCCGATGTGCTCAGACCTTGCCTTGGCAATGACGCTTTTGAAGGACCTGGAGGCGGAATTATACCTCTTTTTAAGTGCGCTGGTGTTTAAATCCCGAGACATTGATGCATCAGCCCAGGCCCGGTAGCACTCCTGCTTATAGCGTGATGCTATTTTACAGGAGCGACCAAACCATGGCTGGGATCTGCCTCCGATGGGCACCACAGAGGATGGAATAAAAAGTTCCATACCCTGAAGTACCACATCAGCAACAGAATCGGCAACAACGCTGGGATCTTCCGGCGAGAAGCAAACTCGCCCCCAAGGGTAGGATGCAAAAAAAGACCGCATCCCGTCCCAATCAGCTGACCTATAGTGCCAAACACGGCGGCAAGCTGCAGATCGCAATTGCGATTGGAGCGTGAGTGGCACCTTGCTCCGGATCAGACAATGGTCCGAAGAGCCCAGAGGGGCATCGACGGACACCTGATATCCGTCCAGATGAGAGGTCAGCAGAAGGTCAAACAGGGAAGGTACATGGTCTTCCACATCTGGGATCCGCGCCAGTTGTGTTAGACCATATGCCAAAGCAAAGTCGTAGACAGATCTACCCGCATGATCGGTTAAACGAGAACCAAGCCATTCAGCGTGGTGGGCGTTGAAATCACCGAGTATCACGATCTCTGCGGATGGGACCTGTTGTAGCACGGAGTCTGCAGCCATTTGAACGTGGTCGATGAGTCGGTCTGTGTCGGCATTACCGCTATGGGACCTATAGAGGCACCCGTAGACGCGGGAATGGTCGTCGCTATCTACGTGCAGTCAGAGGATGGACAGGTCCATACCTTCAAGGCTGCCGAGGCGTCGAAAACAGATGTCCTCTCTGACGTATACACAAACTCGTGACGTGTTCCAATTTGTATCCGGGAGGGGGGGGGAATTGGGCCTCCGGCCACCTGCACTCACCAAGCGCAACGCAGAGGTAAACCTCTACTTCACGCTGGTATTCTGTGAGGTCGTGGTACCACCCCGGTTCGAGCTGGCACATCCGTGCGACAGCAAAAGCTATCGCTTGGCTCTACCACTGTTAACCGATGTAATGAATGTAATAACCGATATTGGCAAATTATTCCCTTCCTTTGTTGTACCCAAACGACAAAGCAAACTGTTTGGTTCGAATACGTGGTATATCGACAACAAAACGGTGTAGAGGGACGAACGTCTGTTTGTTGGATGTTGGTGTATTACGAGTCTGTCATGCAATTCCGGCCCACACCCAGTTGACTACTATCCTATCTGCACTGCCTAATAATAGTTGAAAGGTCATACCGCACGGTATGCGCGTGTGGCGCGTACAGCGGGCCGCAGGCGCTGGGGTCGGCTGCGTACGGCTGCGCCAGTGCGGCGCCGGGCTCGGCCGCTGCCACCTCGCGCCGTCTGGACACAGCCCTCTGCTGACTCTGCTCCGGTGGACTGAAGACAATAAGTCCAATAGTTAAATCAGTAAGTAATTTAAAAAAAAACGGCCTCATATTGTTTTTTACTGAAAAGTGAAAATTTTATACCCTATACATTTTAGAAGCATTACTTTTAACCTCCGATGTCAATCATATTATGTTAATACTATATTAAAGTATCTATATGTTATGTATGTGTGTATATAGGTACAGTGACAAACCATTTTGTAATATCGCATGCCAGGGTCCTGAGATACAGGTTGCGCTTAGTTTAGGACCCGCAGTTACCTGTGATTTTATAATGTTACTTTTGTTTGAAGATTTCTTATAATATTTACGCGAACACTGCACATTGAATAAAACTATCTTTACGGATTGTATCGCGTTTAATTAACTTATTTTTGTCTTCGTAGTTCGGACCAAAGTTAATAATTAAAAAGCTGAAGTTACTCAGGGTTAACTCTGACATCGGGACGTCAATCACCTCAGTCCCCCGTGACCACGGGTGCTGTAAAGTACCCGAAACGTCGGAAATTAATAAAAAATAATTAGACGCGATAAAATCCGTAAAAGTAGTATTATTCAATGTTACTTTTGTTGTTAAGGTTAAGAAATAAGAAATTGAATAAATTTGAAGTGTCTGTCTGTAATATTAAAATAACTGCCTTCTGTTAAACTCAGGGAGTATGTCTGCAAGCTATTAAGACATAAAAAGCCATATTCTGTCTATCTGTCAGGGCTAATCTGCGAAATGGCTGAACCAATTTTGATAAAACTTTACGAATAGATATAGAACAATGCCAGGAGGGATCTAGGTTTTATTTACCCGAAAATCTTGGTGATTTAAAAAAAAACTCAGGGAGTATGTCTGCACGCTATTAAGACATAAAAAGCCATATTCTGTCTGTTTGTCCGGGCTAATCTGCGAAATGGCTGAACCAATTTTTAATAACTTTACGAACAGATATAGAACAATTCCAGTAGGGATCTAGGTTTTATTTACCTGAAAAACGGGGAGATTTAAAAAAAAACGAAAAGTTGATAAAATAAATGGTCTTTGATCACCTTACATCTAAATAACACCACATTTATAAGTCATATCCAGGCGAAGACAGGGCTTGTTGCTGGTAATATAATAAAATGCGTGAATCGTTGGTCTAGTGTTAGTAGTAGTCCCGGGTTCGAATGCCGTGTCGGGACAAAATCAGTTTATTGAGTTTTTCTGCCAAGAAATTCTCCGCAGTGGCCCGGATTTTTTTTTGTAGGATAAGGTGACAAACGAGCACACAGTCCACCTGATGGTAAGTGGTTGCTGTGACCCATAGACTTCTACATCTATCCTCGATAAAGATATTAAAATGCAGATGCGTTGTCACCCGTGAGGATTAATATGGAATGACTCTTTTTCAGTAAAAAGTGTCTTCGGTTCTCTACACTCACCATACGAAACACAGCAGTTTTAAGCTGCTATTTTACGTTGGTATTCTTCCCCGGTCGAGCCGACCCATTCGTGCTACAACTATACTACTAATAGCAGCATGGCTCTACCACGTTTAAGTGTAGGCTTAGAATAATAAATTAATTCTAAGAGTGTAGGTAACACTGCCAGTATTTTATCTTTATAGGAGACGGGGCAAACGAGCATGCGGCTCACCTGATGGTAAGTGACTACCGCCGCCCATGAACAACTGCAACACCAGGGAGGGAATTGCAAATGCGTTGCCGGCCTTTTAAAAAGGAGTACGCTCCCTTCTTGAAGGTCCCTAAGTCGTATCGGTCCGGAAAAATCGCTGATGGTAATCGATTCCACAAGGAAGTCGTGCGAGGAAGAAAACATCTTCTAAATCGCACAGTGGTGGACCGCCAATCATCCAGATGGTGTGGATGGTATCGGGAGTTCTGCTGCGATGTGCGTTCGTGAAATTTGGCGGCTGGGATTAATCCGAACAATTCCTCAGAGCACTCCCCATGGTAGATGCGAAAGAAAATGCAAAGGGATGCAACATCTCTTCGCAGTGCCAATGAATCGAGCCGATCGGAAAGGGCTCGGTCGTCGACGATTCGAGCCGCTCTGCGCTGGATGCGGTCAAGTGGAAGGAGCTGGCACTGGGGAGCTCCTGCCCAGAGATGGGAACAGTATTCCATGTGAGGCCGAAACTGCGCCTTGTAAAGTTGCAGGCGGAGTGCCGACATGAAATACTGTCCCGCTCTGCTGAGCACGCCAAGCTTTTTAGAGGCCAATTTGGCCTTCTCTTCCAAGTGATCACGAAACTGCACGTCACTCGATATGTCGACTCCGAGGATACCGATACTGGCTGAGGCAAGAAGGGAAGTGCCTTGAAACTGAAGAGATACGACAAAGGGGTTCTTTTTAGCGGTAAACGCGCAAACTTGTGTCTTCTGAGGATTAAACTGGACTAGATTTAGTCGCCTCCAATCCGAGACTTTGTTCAGCAAAGACTCGACTTCAGACACAAGTTTGTTCCGGTACTCGGCGACGTTTTCCCGAGAAATATTGGCACGGCCGGTGTATAGAGCATCACCAGTGCTGTCATCCGCATAGCAATGAATGTTACCAGTTAGCAACATATCATTGATATGCAGAAGAAACAGCGTTGGTGATAGCACACAGCCTTGTGGAACACCAGCGTTAATAGGTTTGTAGTCAGAACATGCACCGTCTACAACGACCTTGATGCTCCGATCTGCAAGGAAGCTGGTGATCCAATTGCACAATTTCTCGGGAAGCCCATAGGAAGGGAGCTTCGAAAGAAGCGCTTTGTGCCAAACCCGATCGAAGGCCTTCGCAATGTCCAGACTAACGGCCAACGCCTCCCCCTTGGACTCTACTGCCTCTGCCCATCTATGGGTCAGGTAGACAGTTCCGTGCAAAAAAAACGCAAATTACACGCGGACGAATTCGCGGGGAACAGCCATTGATATATTAAATTTAATATATCAATGGGAACAGCAAGTTAAAAATGAAATTAATGTTTTTCCTGTGTTCCGTATACGTCGTTTCTATACCGTTCATCCGATTACAAGGATACTTTGATGAGTTGCTATCTAAGCACGTGCGAAATTTTCTAACACAAAATTAATATATATGTGTTTTTCTTATAGTTTTCTATGCGTTCCTATCACATGCCTAAAATTATGTTCTAAATCTATGTTTTTTTTTGTATAAAATAAGTGTGACAAGCGAGCGCACAGTCCACCTGATGGTAAGTGGATGCTGTGGCCCATAGACATCCACATCTATCCTCGATTAAGAATCAGAATTGAGATGCGTCGTCACCCCTGAGGATTAAGATGGTATACCTCGTACCCAGTAAAAAGGGTCTCCGGTTCTCTACACTCACCATACGAAACACAGAAGTATTAAGCTAGTATTTTACGCTGGTATTCTGTAAGAGCGTGGTCCTTTCCCGTACGAACCGACCCATTCGTGCTACGACTATAATATAGCTGCAGCATGGCTCTACCACGTATAGAATACCTATACCATTATGCGATTACGACAAAACCTTGGTGAAGTGGTTGTGTCCGCGCCCACGAATGTAGTACTATAAAAATAACGCCATTCGGCCATTCATTAATTTATAACTTAACGTAATGACAACATTATTATATTTTTAAGCTGACACAAAATATCACAGCCCGCCTACAAGGTGGAGTCGAATTACTTCCCGTTAATCCTCTATTTTGACAACAACCGACAAATGGCATTCATAAGTTACGTTTGCCCGTTATTAATCGATTATACCAGGAAGTTCTATTGAAAGAAGTTCGAGTGAAACAAAAAATGAGATACAGTAGTTTTTTTTCCCGCTATCGCTGTTTGAACACATGGCGTCCGTTTTTTTTTTTCTCGCTCCTATATAATTAATGACTTGATTTGTTTATAATACTTTAATGTGTAACCTAAATTGTTCGTAACGTTGATGAGTTTACGATATTTTTTTTTGCAATATAAATTTTGAAATAAAAACAAAAGTGAGATGAATCTTTTGAAAGCGTATGGCATGTTAGATCTATTAATATAGCGACACGCCCCGGTTGCGCCTGGGTAGGATCTAATAATGTGGCGTTATTAAAAATTAACAATTTATTTTACCTCTTTTTTCGATATTTCGAAAACAATCCTAAGTTTTTCGGCTAAAACATAACCTAGATCACTCCTGGCAATGCTCTCAAGTTATCTGTTCATGAAGTTTCATCACAATCAATTCAGTCATTCCGAAGATTATTAGCTCGGACAGACAGACACAAAAATTTATTATTATTATTATTTAATATTTTGCTACAAACTAAAATATCTTTAAAAATGTATTCTTTTTTTTAATACGTCTTTGGCTACAAAGAAGGAAGTACCAATACTTAATAAAAACGTAGTAAAATAAAAAATAATAACCTTCCTTCCATTACATGCTGGCAGGTTGGTATATACTATTTCTTTTTAAATGTAAAAAACAAATTATGGGCGTGTCTGCTGTCTGTTGCAATTTTCTTTATTATTTGGTAGTTTATAAAACGCAGCGTTCTGATAAGATCGCAACATAAACAAAATTCACTTCGGGCGTGGGAATGAACGGAGTTGGAAAAGATTTATGGCCCAGCGTACCAGCGTATAACCAATCCAGAAACAAGGATAGTAGTTAAGAGGGAACTGTAAACAACATCAATGTTTCGTTCCACGCTGTTGATGCTTACTTCTGACATTTATTATTTGTACCTACCTACTGTTACGTAAAGAAGTCTATGTAGTTGCAAAATTTCATTTAAAGATTTTTTAAAGCAAAATTTAATTTAGCAATATTTATTTTATTTTGATGTTACAGTGGTAACACTTGTGACGCACACATCATGCGCACACACTTTTCCTCCACAAGTCTCGATAAGGGCGACAAAATGAGTGCCTTTAAACACTATCTTTTAGTCCTGAATATCATTTACTGACTTGATTCAAATACAAATAACAATGGCATGTAGTTTATGTGGTCAGCTTCCATCTATTATATATTACTTATTTGATATATATTGACGTAACTAAGCTAACCGCTACTCCGTACGTTCATCCGAATATTTTAAGGTGTTTTTACGATATCTTAATATATACTCTAAATAATAAGAAATGATTCATGTTTTTATTTTGGCGGGAATTCAACACGGCGTGTCCGCCATAACTGTCAAACGTAACTCTTTACCTACAGCGCATCGTAAAAGTAAATTGTCACCGGCTGCTCCAACGGCATTTTACAGTGTCTCCAAAATGAGTTTGAGCATAAAATTTAATTATTTACACACGCTAGTTTATTTATGAATAGTGGTTTTGACACCGGGAATTTTTATTTCGTAGAATGTGGATTCACTTAGTTGTGGGCTAATATCGTTTTCCTGTAGATATAGAATAAGATAATATTATTTTTTCTTACCAGTCGTCGGGATCGCAGTCTCTGAATCCTTTGGCGAATGGGTTACTTGCTATTTTTAATTGTGTTATCTGTAAAAAAATACATATTTTGTTAAAAGTTATTTTAAAAAGGTGCCAAATATTTTAAACTAAGTTATTAAATGTTTTTATTTCACCTAAAGAGCAGACCCAGAACCAAAATGAATATCCTAGAAGAATCATTTAAAAAAAGCCCTTAGCACACTCACCTCGCATGGTTAAAGACGAATTATGTCGGACTCGCACCTATTATAGTAATGTTCTCAGACCTAATTTCAGTCACGGCAGGCAGTCTCAACGGAGACTAGCCATCTGTGCAGGACAGGATTATAGTGCCCAAGTGTATGAGCAAATACAGGTGTACTCTCTATTCCGTCACTATCATGTTCCGATGGGACGGTAATCCGACACGCGACACGACCGGAGACAGATCAGACGCAAAACCGACTTTACACACATCAAAAAAAGTTTGCGATCTATTTGGAAAATCGATTTTTTTTTCGTTACGGTAGACTATATTATAATTTGTCCTTCTTTTTGGATTCTTTAATTAAAAATATAGAATTAGAATATAAAACAATAAAACAAATTCAATTGTTTCTCCATATAAAAAGAATTTCAATCCAAGCTTACGCTCATTCAGAAATCTGGCCTTAGTCAATTTTAACGTATTTAAAGTATATTTTCGAGGAAAGTTGTGATTAAATAATTTAAAATTAAAAATTTTGTACAACCGACTTCAATATACATTATTAAGGATAACTCCGAAACTATTAATCAGACCTTGATCAAATTGATTCGGGAACACATAAAAGACATTAGCTTTAAAATAAAAGAAGAATCATCGAAATCGGTTCAGGTAGAACAAAGTTATGAGGTTACACACATAAAAAAACACAGTCGAATTGAGTACCTTCTCCTTTTTGAAGTCAGTAGAAAAATGTCAAAAGGATTATGAGAAGTTTTAAGAGCAAGAATTGTAACTTTGAAGGAAGAAGGATATTCCACGAGAGTAATGGCACGCAGAGTTGCTGTATCCCAATCCTGTGTCGTGGCCACCACGTAACACGGCATGGATAATTTTGCTGTCCGACCCGCAGTGGTCGCCCAACTGTTCTAACTGCAGCTCAAAAGCTCTATATCAGATTGCTGGCGGTCCGTGACCAACGCCACTACAATAAAAGCAGAAGTGCGGGCCACCCCTGGACTTGAAGTTAGCATTCAGACCATTTGGAATTGCTTACACCTGCTGGACTACGAGCACGGAGGTCTTGGCGAGCACCTCTGAATTCACGGCAACGTCAGCGATGGAGATTGCACTGGGCTAGGCTCCGATAAAATGAACAAATGAAGATGAAAACATTTGGCAAAACTGTCTCTTCGTTGACGAATCGCGAATCAGTATCAGTACTCATCCAGATAACCGATCTGTCCGTGTCTGGAGAAAACCTTGAGCCGTTTGGAACCGTCAGCCACCTTCCCATACAGTGCGAGTGATCAGAGAATCCGCTTTTCAAGAATGGGACAAGTTACCGCAAGAAATGCTGGGTAACTTGATTCTCAGCATGCCCAGAAGGATCTCCACGTGTGTTCGAGCCAGGAGAGGAGTTATATTGTATTCAATAAAAACCTTTTATTAATAAATTGTTGTATAAGTTTGGTTAAACAATCTTTTACTTTCATTCAAATTTCTGTTACAAATAGGTACATTAGGATTGATTTACTCAATTATTGGTATTAAAAAATAAAAAAATACTTTTACTGTTTAATTTTAAACAGTGTATTTTTATTAAAAAAAAAGAAGAAACATAAACTCTTTTTCTTGATAAAGAAAAATTTTAAAAATATAACAGCGTCACTACGTGCTTTCCGAGGCACGAGGGTGAAACACCGCGAACTTCCTAATTGAACGGGCTGATACTTTCTTTTTTTCTATTTTCTTTTTTTTAAAACGTTACCAAATTATAACCATTTCATATAACCATGCCATAAGCCTGCATAATAATATGCAACATTTCACTAATACTATAATATACTGCACATTGATAACCACAACAACCGTAAAGCATCTTAGTAAATTACTTTATAACCCGCTTGCCCTGTATTTTTAACGGATTTTTTTTCTTTTTAAAACGTTACCCCTAAACTTGGATTTGCTCCTGTATCGTGGAGGCAGTTTACAAACACAAATTGCACAAGGACAAACGTCCCGACCCGGAACACTTATTTGTAGGCCATACAAATACTCGTTCCGGGCGGTATTCGAACCCGCGGCCCGCAGCGAAGCAACTCATTGCTAAGCCACTGCGCCACGGATCCGTCGGACAGTCTCAGTGGATACTGAGAGTTTTTTGTTAAAAACACGCAATGACTGATTTTGACCCTACCGGAATTCGAACCCAAGATTATCAGTTGCGTTTACAACAAATAGACCAAAGAGACATTCAACCTATTATAGCCCCATGGTGTTTCTCGCTTTGTATCCACAGGGCCAGTTAGGAAATCAACAAATACAACTTACCCGATGGTTCTGGTAGGCGGTGACGGCGGTGAAGCCAGTTTCAGGGAACACAAATGTGCGGTATGGCACAGTAGCGGGCGCGGTACGGGCGCCCTCTGCTGGCAGATACACCACGTGGAGTCGCGGCTGGTAGCGGTGCATCGAATTCAAGATAATCTGCGTACATATGATGTATGGTCATATTTTTATATAAAATGTATTAATTTTGTTATTTGGTTTAATTGATTACTGTGATTTTCCTCCTGTGTTTTTTTAAGTTTTCTCAATTTTTTTTTTATTTTTATTAAATATTTTTGGTATTTCTCGGTTTTTGATTTATTTTTAGGTTATGTTTCTAATGTTTTTGTAATTTATTTTATAAAGTGTTACTCTTCTTGTGAAGCATATTGTGGCTGTCTTTTAAAAATTAAGCTTATATATTATGTTTTGTGAACATGTAATTACCTCTGGCTGTCCTTAAATAAATAAATAAAACTAGAGACCTGTCCCGGCTTCTCCTCGATAAAATCTATTAATATGACTTTATTTTATATTTTATCAATGTTTCATTTAATTTTTTTTAAATTTTCAAGTTTTTCGAATATTGCCTAACCTTTTACCTTATACCTTATTTTATAACCTCTTCTTTGGCATTGCTTTCTATCTGTTCATAAGATTACATTACAAGTACAGTATGGGCAGACAGAGAGACAAAAATTTTAAATAGCTTGGAAAACCCAAAGGTGCACGCAAATGGGCATTTCATTTAATTTTGATGAAAAAAAATAAAAATAGTGACGATACACAATTTTTACAAGAAAAGAAACAGAAAATCTGATCGACTTTCATTAATAACTTTTAAACGTTGTTGAGTTCAATAACAATAATTTAAAATTAAACATTTTGTACAGCCGACTTCAATTTTTTTTATAGGATACGGGTGACAAACGAGCACACAGTCCACCTGATGGTAAGTGGTTGCTGAGGCCCATAGACATCTACATCTATCCTCGATTATGTATCAAAATGTAGATGCGTTGTCACCCGTGAGGACTAAGATGGAATGCCTCATTTCCAGTAAAAAGGGCCTCCGGCCACCTGCACTCACCAAGCGAAACGCAGAGGTAGACCTCTACTTCACGCTGGTTTTCTGTGAGGTCGTGGTACCACCCCGGTTCGAGCCGGCCCATCCGTGCGACAGCAAAAGCTGCCGCGTGGCTCTACCACTGTTAAAAGTTCAATATGACTATTATATGAAAACTATCGGTCTGACTATAATCAAATTCATATGGGACCACACGAGAGGTACCAGCTTTCAGATAAAAAGAGAATCATCCAAATCGGTTCAACCAGTAAAAAGTTATGAGGTAACACACATTAAAAAAAAACATACAGTCGAATTGAGTACCGTCTCCTTTTTGGAAGTCGGCAGAAAATCAATAGAGATCCTCCTTAGAATATATAGAATCTTATTTAATACTATATAACTCAAGCTATTACTTAAAAGATGTCATTGACGCACAGACTAACGGACGGTAGTCCATATAGATTTTCAATTGTATTTTTTGTTATGTAATCTAAAGGGAATCAATTAGAAAATAAACTAATCTTATAATTCAATGTCTGGAATTATTGTAACGTTAATAATAATATAGATTTGATGTCTAGCTAAAAGTAGAAGAACGAATTTATGTATCGAAATTGAGGTATGGCCACATATCGAGAGTAGAGCACTCCCTCACGTTGTGAGGAGTGCAAAATGATCATTTATGACTTAATGGCATGCAGATTACCCCCGGAGCTCAATGAAAGACAGTTATTTGAATATTACGGACAGACACTTCAATTTTTTTATACGTATATGTCACTGCCACTGAGCTTAATTAGCCCATGACTTAACAGCTTAGCCTTTTTACTGAACGGCGCCGTTCAGCTAGCGGCCTGATTGATATTCAGGTGCAACGTTTTACTAGACGCATCGGCTGAATATCATTCAGGCTGCTAGTTGAACAGCGCCGTTTAATAAAAAAGCTAGACTATTAACTGAAAGGCTAATAAAGCTAACTAGCTGCGACATAACATAAATGTACAGATAGAACAGATAGAAAAACAAATGTAAGGTGCACTCACGTGTCCGTTGTCGTCGAGCTGGTTGTTGGTGAGCTTGAGCTTGTCGAAGGAGACGAGCTGGCGCATCCAGTGCGCGCCGGCGGCGGGCGAGTCCGGGTGCACGTGGATGCGCGGCGGCGACACCGGGTCCGCCTTGCCAGCCACCACCCAGCTCGAGCTGCGCCCCCACCGACCAACATACACCACTCATCATCCACCACCATTATTACTATAATAATACTAACGTCCTCCAGACCGAATTTCGGTTACAACGGCTGGTCTTTTTTTATAGAATAAAGGTGACAAGCGAGCACACAGTCCACCTGATGGTAATTGGTCGCAGTGGCCCATAGACATCTACATCTATCCTTAATAAAGAATAAAAATGTAGATGCGTTGTCACCCGTGAGGACTAAGGTGGAATGCCTCGTTTCCAGTAAAAAGGGTCTCCAGTTCTCTTCACTAATACGAAACACAGCAGCATCCACGTACAAAACGTGTCGTTAGTCTCTAGGGAGACTAACGACACGTTCAACATCACACCATCTACGCAGGACAGCATCATAGTGCCCGAGTGTATGCGCAAGCACAAATGCACTATCTATTCTCTAACTCTCTTAGTCCGATGGGACGGTAATTCGTCACGACCAGAGGGAAATCAGGCGCAGGACCAACGGCTTTACGTGCTTTCCGAGACACGGGGGCGCAATAACGGTTTGACTCCGGGCTGCTACTGAGGATTTCTCGATAGAAAACCCCAATCACTGATTTAGGCACGACCCGGGATTCGTACCCGGGACCTCGTGATCAGCAATTTCGTTTAAGACCATTAGACCAACGAGTCAGGTGTTTACTTACATAGTAATAATGTTTTATTTTTTTAATCTTTCACACACAAAGTTGTACATATAGCAGACTTAATGCCATAGGCATGTATGATGCATGTACAACTTTGTGTTGCCCTATGGCATAGGGCATTCTCTCCCAATCAACCATGAGGCTAAACAAAGATAGACAAACAAGAGGCGGTGCGGCAGTAATAAAAATAGAAAGGGCTAAAAAAATATTGTATATACATATATAACTACATACAAATATACATATACACACACATACATACGCATACATACTTAAGTACACACAATATAATATACAATGTTCGTCCAGTGGTCGAAATTCGACCGTAATTAATTGGAAGTAAAGACTAGAAATGAGTTGGGGGTGGCTCGAACTTTAGGACTAGTCAGTTTGAATAGCCTATCATGTAGAGGATGTCATGGGGGTCATGGTTGAATAGGGGTAAAAAGTTCTCATTGCACTCAAAAGGTTGAGGTCAAAATGGCCAAAAACCAAAAAATTAAAAATTCTAAAGTAAAGACTTTTTTCGGCTATAGCTCCACCACCTCCTTCGGAGGTTCTTACAGTCTTTGCTTCCCGCATCCCACTTGTTAAGTAAACTTTTAGGTTTGTATATTAAGCATGTTGTATTGCACTTTTGGTTTTCAGTATGAAGTTATATTAAACATAAATATTTTAACGGTGGTAGAGCCACGCAGCAGCTCTTGCTGTTGCACGTATGGGCCGGCTCGAGCCGGGTTAGTACCAAACTACCCCAGGAGGGTACCAGTACCCCTCGAGAATCCCTCGCTGAGCATCCACGACCATGCTATTCGACTCCTGAGCGTGGGTGCTCAGGCTGCCCCGCGTATTCTGGGGGGGGGGGGGGGGCAAAATTCCGCTCAACACAATAACTGCTCGGGGCAAACTGAGCAACAAGACCAAGGCGACCCCTGCCACGCTATCCGTGAATTTTTGCAACATCAGGGGACTTCACTCGAACCTAAGCGCCGTCCACTACCATCTTGAGACGGCGAAGCCGGCCTTGCTCTTTCTGACCGAGACGCAGGTGTCCTCTCCGGCTGATACTTCGTATCTCTCCTACCCGGGGTACAAATTGGAGCACTCCTTTGTGCCTCGGGCTGGAGTTTGCGTGTATGTCAGAGAGGACATCTGTTTTCGACGACTCGGCAGTCTTGAAGGTTCGGACCTGTCCATCCTTTGGCTACGCGTAGACAGCGACGACCATCCGCGCGTCTACGTGTGTCTCTATAGGTCCCATAGCGGTAATGCCGAAACAGACCGACTCATCGACCACGTCCAAATGGCTACAGATTCCTTGCTACAACAGGTCCCATCCGCAGAGATCGTGATCCTTGGCGATTTTAACGCCCACCACGCCGAATGGCTCGGTTCACGTTTAACCGATCATGCGGGGAGATCTGTTTATGACTTTGCCTTGGCATATGGTCTTACACAACTGGTTACATCGCCTACGCGGATTCCAGATGTTGAGGATCATACACCTTCCCTGTTGGACCTTCTGCTGACCTCTCATCCGGACGGATATCAGGTTTCCGTTGATGCCCCTCTTGGCTCTTCGGACCATTGTCTGATCCGGAGTGTGGTGCCACTCACGCTCCCCTCGCGGTTGCGTTTTGCAGGTTGCCGCCATGTTTGGCATAACAGGTCGGCGGATTGGGACGGAATGCGGTCTTTCTTTGCTTCCTACCCATGGGGGCAGGTTTGCTTCTCGCCGGATGATCCCAGCGCTGTTGCTGACTCTGTCACTGATGTGGTGCTACAGGGAATGGAACTATTTATTCCATCATCTGTGGTACCCATCGGAGGCAGATCTCAGCCTTGGTTTGGTCGCTCCTGTAAGACTGCATTACGCAGTAAGCAGGAGTGTTATCAAGCCTGGGCTGCGGCTTCGGTGACTCGGGATGTAAACACCAGCACACTTAAAAAGAAGTATAACTTCGCCTCCAGGTCCTTCAAAAGAGTTATTGCCAAGGCAAAGTCAGAGCACATAGGCAGAATTGGCGAGAAACTAGTTCGCCTTCCTTCGGGAACCCGTGCATTCTGGTCTCTCGCCAAGGCTGTCCAAGGGAATTTCTGTAAGCCATCACTACCATCTCTGCACAGGGAGGACGACTCACTGGCCCACGACGCAAAAGAGAAGGCCGACCTTTTAGGCTCCCTTTTTGCGTCCAACTCGACTGTTGATGACGGGGGGAACACACCGCCGACCATCCCGCGGTGTGAGTGCTCCATGCCGGATGTGCGTTTTTCACAGCGCTCGGTTCGCAGAGCACTCCTCTCCCTTGACATCCACAAGTCGAGTGGGCCTAACGGAATCCCCCCAATTGTGCTGAGGACGTGTGCTCCGGAGTTGGCACCGGTTCTAACTCGTCTTTTCCGGTACTCCTACTCCCTAGGCGTAGTCCCGAAATCATGGAAGACAGCTTTTGTCCACCCGATCCCTAAAAAAGGCGACCGCTCAGACCCGTCCAACTACACCCCCTTGTTCTCCAAAATAATGGAAGCCGTTGTAAACTGCCACCTCATGCGGTACCTTGAGGATCACCAGCTGATTAGTGACCGCCAGTACGGTTTTCGTCGGGGTCGATCAGCTGGTGATCTTCTGGTCTACTTAACTCATAGATGGGCGTTGGCAGTAGAGTCCAAGGGGGAGGCATTGGCCGTTAGTTTGGACATTGCGAAGGCCTTCGATCGGGTTTGGCACAAAGCGCTTCTTTCGAAGCTCCCTTCCTATGGGCTTCCCGAGAAATTATGCAATTGGATCACCAGCTTTCTTGCAGATCGGAGCATCAAGGTCGTTGTAGACGGTGCATGCTCCGACTACAAGCCTATTATCGCTGGTGTTCCACAAGGCTGCGTGCTATCACCAACGCTGTTTCTTCTGCATATCAATGATATGTTGCAAGCCGGTAGCATTCATTGCTATGCGGATGACAGCACTGGTGATGCTCTATACACCGGCCGTGCCAATATTTCTCGGGAAAACGTCACTGAGTACCGGAACAAACTGGTGTCTGAAGTCGAGTCTTTGCTGGACAAAGTCTCGGATTGGGGGCGACTAAATCTAGTCCAGTTTAATCCTCAGAAGACACAAGTTTGCGCGTTTACCGCTAAAAAGAACCCCTTTGTCGTATCTCCTCAGTTTCAAGGTACTCCCCTTGTTGCCTCAGCCAGTATCGGAATCCTCGGCGTCGACATATCGAGTAGCGTGCAGTTTCGTGGTCACTTGGAAGAGAAGGCCAAATTGGCCTCTAAAAAGCTTGGCGTGCTCAGCAGAGCGGGACAGTATTTCATGCCGGCTCAACGCCTGCAACTTTACAAGGCGCAGGTTCGGCCTCACATGGAATACTGTTCCCATCTCTGGGCTGGGGCTCCCCAGTGCCAGCTTCTTCCACTTGACCGCATCCAGCGCAGAGCGGCTCGAATCGTCGACGACCGAGTCCTTTCCGATCGGCTCGACTCATTGGCACTGCGAAGAGATGTAGCATCTCTTAGCATTTTCTTTCGCATTTACCATGGGGAGTGCTCTGAGGAATTGTTCGGATTAATCCCAGCCGCCAAATTTCACGAACGCACATCGCGGCAGAACTCCCGATACCATCCACACCATCTGGATGATTGGCGGTCCACCACTGTGCGATTTAGAAGATGTTTTCTTCCTCGCACAACTTTCTTGTGGAATAGTTTACCACCAGCGATTTTTCCGGACCGATACGACTTAGGGACCTTCAAGAAAAGAGCCTACTCCTTTTTAAAAGGCCGGCAACGCATCTGCGATTCCCCTGGTGTTGCGGTTGTTCATGGGTGGCGGTAGTCACTTACCATCAGGTGAGCCGCATGCTCGTTTGCCCCCTCTCCTATAAAAAAATACAAAATAAATGCCTTTTATACCTTAACATATTCCACAAACTATTGAAAAAGTTAGTCAACCTCAATAATTATATTATTCTTTGGCGACAATTTCTACTCTATTCGACTGTTTGACCATAGATTGTTATGTGTTTGACAGTATGATGGTAAACAATGAATGTTTTACTTTATTTTTTGTAATGTGTTTCTAACACATAAGTTTTAGTTTTATACACTCCTTCGTCATGAAAGCTTTAAATATGTTTGGCGAAATACTCCTTCATCCGCACGATATGCTTGAAAAAGCGTATAAAGTATCTACTACTTAACGTACTATTATATTCCTAGATTCCTATCAGGTCGGGCTGTAAATATGTAATATAAAATAACCCTTTCTCTCTGAATACCAACTCGAAATAGCAATTTAATATAGCTTTGTTTCGTATAGTGAGTGTAGAGAATCTTTTTGAAACGAGGTATTCCATTTTATTATATCGACATTAGTTGTCACGGCTGGCAGGCAAGAGGCAAGAACCAACATTTATCATTATTGAGTTGTAATCAGAATAATGATAATGCCCATCTCTACAATGGAAAACGCCATTAAAATCTTCAGAATCCCGACAGAAGTTGATATCAGGTATATGATGATATCATTACACCAGACATAAAATATCTTCTAAGCGTGATAATTAAGATAAGTCCTCGCTGTAGTAGAAAAGGTCGGCTACTAGCAACTGAAAAAGAACAAGACAAAGAAATTCAAACCTATGAAAAGCGTATCGGTATCTCTTGTCGTCCAGCGGCACGAAGTCGACTAGCAGCAGATAGTCCGCATTGGGCAGTAGACCAGCTAGTCGCGCTTGAAGCGCTGGGAACATCCTGCGGCCGGCCTTCGTGACGATCATCTCAGTGCCGAGCTCGTGGAAGCTCCGCCAGAGCGCGGCCAGCTCGAGCGTGGCGGTGCAGCGCGCGACCGCCGGGTGGAGTGTCACGTTCTGCGTTGAAACCTGGTCAAGCACACTATGGATTAATCAGGCCCTGATAATTTCTAGTATATTGTAGCATACAAAGTCTGATGATGGTTTGATTGCTGATTCACATTGCAACGAAATGGCGAATCTATACTAATATGACAAAGCGGAAAAGATTTTTTTGTTTTATTTTTGTTTGTTTAAACACGCTAGTCTCTGGAGGTAACAATCTGATTTGAAAAATTATTTTTGTATTTTATAGCCAGTTTCATGAGGAATAGTATAGGCTATCTAGCATTAAGGTATACCTCTCAGCTAGCCTTAAATATGGCGAGTCAGAAGAAAAAGTTTAGTTGTTGAGACGCGTCTAAAATTCAATGTTTTGACCTGGAATATATCCCACTATCCTACTAATATTAGGTTTACAATGAAAGCTCCTTTAGATGTTGCAATGTTTGGATGTTTGTATGTTTGTGGCTCAATCACGTAAAAACTGGCGACCAGATCTTGACGAAACTTAGCAATATTATAGATAACGAGCTAAAATAGGATATAGGCTGTTTTTTATAATAAAAAAGGTTTAGCCTTTTTAATCTATGGTATAATAAAAAATGGATCGTTAGTAAACGCAAGCGATACACCGGGTAAAAGCTAGTGATATATAAATATATTTATTTGCTTATAACAAGGTGTAACGATATTATAGAGTGGCAATTGTACATATTTTGTTATTTATAGATTACATGTACATTTTATTAAACGAAATCTAAATTTTTATTGATGTAGGAAATTAAAAATGTATATGCTAAAGTAATTTAAATCTATAATCTAACTCCCTCTTAGTATTAAGTAGTTGTATTGTACTAAATGGTAAAACAAGTAAGCCTAAACACTGCCTATTCACATTTGCCTTGAAAAGTCCAAAACTGTAGTGGTCAGGGAAGACTGACGCAGGTGAAAAGTTCTAATCCTTTCCTGTATGAGTTGCTCCGCAAACGTTGAGTCGTAAGCATCGTTTTTGATAAGCTCCGTCAAAGAAAAATCAGTAAAAATAGTAAATTAAGTGCTATTTTCTCGTGTTATGTGTCAAAAGTTGTGTTTTTACGACGTCCGTATTATGACCTGATTGCATTCAGCCGGACGCTGTTATTGAAAGTGTTATTTTGGTTTTTCTGTGTTAAGCACGTGGTTTTTAGGTTATATAAACAGTTTTTTGTGAACGCTGCGCGATTAAGATCTATGACATATGTGTTTTTATATGTCACACTGTGGGGCTCATTATCTGCTACAAGATCCCAAAAAATTAGATTTTTTCATTGAAGTGGTGCCGAGTTATAACCATATTTAGAAAAACCACGTGTCTACCAAAATCAACACGGAAATCGTGCGGCTGGTATGCGGATTGAAATTGGAAGGAAAAGTGAGTTTTGAACTATTATCAAGTTTTAAATTTGAAGAAAAATAATTAATTCAAAAGTTATAACCAAAAGCAGTTGACAAAGTGACAACCCTAACTTTGCGGTCGTATATCTCTTTAAAACGATCTATGACATTATCATTAGAGACTAGTAGTTGAAGGAACATTTTATGTTCTTTAAATATTAGTAATTAGTTTATTTTTATGTTGAATAGTTTTAAAGTTATTGATTTATTTGTAAATTATATGTGTAAAACCAACCGCAAAATAGGCAAAAATAAGTTTGTAATCTAATTGGATCCGAACACATAGTGTTTTTTAGAAAAATAGCAGCTTTATTCGTGTGACAGTCATAAACCTGACCTTTCTTGAGAATTTGATAAAAATCGAATAAATTTAAATCAAAAAATTAACAATTTTTTAATTTATAACTATACATAAATTTTAAAAAATCATCAAAATTGTAATTGACTTCTCTGAGTGGATGCACAGTGAAAATTCCATTAGTTTGAAACCAAACACGGTGTAATTGGGCCTTTTAGTTCGCATACAGTAGACAAAATTAAAATTTACGCCATCTTGGCCGCCATATTGTGGAAATAAAAACAAGTATAATTCAAGAACCATACATCGCACAGGATTGTGGTTTTGGACATACTATTAAGCGGCCAAGTGGCCATCTTTCTATTGACATTCAGACACTCTACATAGAGTCAAATTTTAATTGTGAAAACCACTCTAGAAGGCGAGATCATATTGTTCCCATTATAAAGAACCCGAACACGAGTTTTCTGCGGCGGCGGGAACGGAAGTTATAAAGTCCCAAACTATAAGTCGCCATCTTGGGCGGCCATCTTGAAAATCTTGCAACGTCTATAACTTCTGAACCATTTGTCGTAGCGAGTCGTGGTTTTGGGCGTAAAGTGTGGTATCTTGAGAGCTGTCTCTCGACCAACTGATCTGTTAAACTTTTGCAATAATCTATACGATACAATTTTTTTTTTCTTGATATTTTTTTTTTATTATTATTTTATTTTAAATTAGGGAACATTGAAGTATGGCTTCGAAAACGAAAATTGACAGTACTGCCAACTCAGGTAGGTCTAAAGTTACTGTGACAACGGCAGGAGTGATGTCCGCAGGAATTTCACGCAAACGAATTCCCTCGACCACCGGAGGAAGTACTCCAGAGTCACCCGTGAAGACACGCATATCCGATGGATCCCCAGCATACACCAGCTTATCAACACCAGAAAGCTCACCAGCGAGTCTCTCAGCTAAAGCAAACCGGTTGTACCAAGAGGCAAAAAACCAAATGGAACAGTCGGGTAATATAAAGACTTCAATAAAGGAGACAGTGCTCAGCAATCTAGCGGGGATGTATGAGATTATTCTCCGATTGAGTGAGTCGAGACAGACACTCCATGCACAACTCGAAAAAGCCCGAGCAGAAAGTACAGCGACATTATTAAAGCGCGAGAGGGAACACGCGGAGCAACTAACAAAAGCGCATAAATTAAGAACTGTAACCTCAACCAAATCGCCACCAACAATCGATTTAATAAACGAGCTTATAGAAAACTTACAAGACCATGCGAAAACAGTAGTGGAATGTAAACAACATACCATAATGCTCACCGAACAACTGAAACAAACTCCACAGAATAACAACTTGGAACGAACTTATGCACAAGCAGTAGGTACCACAAAACATCAACAGATACACTCGGTGGTAGTGACGTCAGATGAGCCGAAGGATACTAGTGGTGAGGTTATTGACAAAATTAGAACGGCGGTAAATGCAAGACATGAGGGTATACAAATAGAGAGGATACGTAAAGCGAGAGATCAAAAAGTAATTGTAGGATGTAAATCAAAAGAAGAACTGACAAAAGTGACAGAGAGAATTAAACACTCGGGAGGAAGCCTGCATGTCGAAGAAGTAAAAAATAAGGATCCACTTATAATCCTAAAAGACGTACTAGTGTACAATTCAGATGAAGATATAGTGACTGCGCTAAAAAATCAAAATAATCACCTAATAGGAGAAATAAAAACAGAAGACCAGAGACTCGTCGTGAAATACCGACGTAAGACCAGAAATCCTCATGCAAACCATGTCATCATGCAGGTTTCCCCCCAAGTGTGGCAGCGACTAACGACGGTAGGACGAGTGCATATTGACTTGCAGAGAGTTCGAGTGGCAGATCAAACACCATTAGTGCAGTGTTCACGCTGCCTAGGGTACGGTCACGGTCGACGATTCTGCAAGGAAACTGCTGACCTCTGTAGCCACTGTGGTGGCCCACATATGAGGGCAGAATACACAGATTGGCTTGCAGGAAATGCACCATCGTGTCGAAATTGCTTCCACGCAAAACAAGATAAAAATGACCACAACGCCTTTGACTCTGAATGCCCAATTAAGAAAAGATGGGACACACTAGCTCGATCGATGGTGGCGTACTGCTAAAGACGACTTAGACGCAGGCAGCACTTCAACGGATGCACAGACCCTCCAAACTCTGCAAACATATAGGGTCATACAGGCGAATTTACAAAAGAAAAAACTGGCGACATCAGAATTAATAATAGAAGCCGCCAAAGAAAGGATTTCTTTTGCACTAATACAGGAACCGTATATAGGCTCCCAGGGAATACTTAAAAGACACGTTGGAACACGCGTGGTTCAACGAAACAATAACAGGACAAAGCCTGTAAAGGCGGCCATAGTGGTTTTTGACGAGAATGTGGAGATTATTGAAAGCCCCACATTGACAACAGAAAATATAGCAGTTGCTATATTAAAAACAAATGAATGGACCATGGGAGTCATATCGATCTACATGGAGGATTATATGCCAATCGAACCATATTTGGACAAAATAAAAGCCATTGTTAGGACCATAGGAACCACCAAAATACTGCTTGGAGGAGATAGTAACGCATGGAGCACATGGTGGGGAAGTGTGACAGAAGATCATAGAGGAGAGGCACTGTCGGGAACATTAGAAGAGCTAAACTTGCAAATTCTTAATATCGGGAACGAACCAACATTTGACACCATAAGAGGAGGGAAACACTACAAGAGTCATGTTGATATCACGGCATGCACATTGGAACTACTAGGAGTCGTAAATGATTGGAGAATAGATAAACATGTAACTAGCTCAGACCATAATGCGATTAGATTTAATATAAAATTGAAAAGACCAACACAAGACAGACATAGAAGTACGACAAGAATATTCAATACGAAAAAGGCTAATTGGCTCCTATTTAAAGAAGAATTGACAAACCAAATAAAAAGAAGGAATATAGATAAAAATGAGATCAATAACATTGTAACTAAGGAAGCTTTAGAACTAATGATAGAAAATTACATTGACGGTGTAAAGAAAACATGTGAAAAGACGATACCTCTAATTAAATTTAAGAACAGACCGAAAATAATATGGTGGAATGAAGACTTGGAAAAATTGAAAAGAGACATGAACACCAAAAAGAGAAGAATACAATGTGCTGCACCAAGCCGTAAAATATGGGTAGTGAATGAGTTCCTCCTAGCAAAAGGGAAATATGAAGAGGAAGTAATAAAAGCCCAAACAGAAAGTTGGAAGAACTTCTGCACAAAACAGGATAGCGAGAGTATGTGGGACAGTATCTATAGAGTAATGGCAAAAACGACCAAAAGATACGAAGACCAACCACTCGTAAGGAATGGGATAGCTCTGAATGTGGATGAATCAGTGAAGTGGCTAACTGAGACTTTCTTTCCAGACGATCGTGAAGAAGACGATAATGCAGAACATCAGCTAACAAGATTAACAGCAAGCAAACCTGACTCAAAAGCTACTGACAAAATGGATCCGCCTTTCACTATGGCTGAACTTAATTACGTGATAAACACCTTTAATCCAAAAAAGGCGCCAGGTCCAGACGGTTTGACTGCGGACATATGCTCAGTTGTAATATCCCAAGAACCAGAAGTCTTCCTGAATATAGCGAACAAATGCCTACAACTGTCACATTTCCCAATACCCTGGAAAGAAGCGAGGGTGATAGTGATAAGAAAACCAGGCAAAGATAACTATCTGGCCCCAAAATCTCATAGACCAATAGGACTTTTGTCAGTCATGGGCAAAATGCTTGAGAAAATGTTCATAAGGAGGATTAGATGGCACCTCCAACCTCAAGCAAATCCTAGGCAGTATGGTTTCGTCCCACAACGCAGCACTGAGGACGCTCTGTATGACCTGTTAAAACACATACGACAAAACTTGACCAAAAAACTCATAAACGTGATAGTGTCGCTCGACATAGAAGGAGCGTTTGATAGCGCCTGGTGGCCGGCAATACAGTGCCGACTGGCAGAGAAACGCTGTCCGCAAAATCTATGTAACCTTGTAAATAGTTACTTAGAAGATAGGAGGGTTTGTGTAGGCTACGCAGGGGCCGTTTGCTCAAAAAAAATGACAAAAGGATGTGTTCAAGGCTCCATTGGGGGCCCCACATTTTGGAATATTCTACTAGACCCCCTGTTGGATGGGTTGGAGAAACGTGGGGTATATTGTCAAGCATTTGCTGACGATGTTGTCCTGATATTCTCCGGAGGAACTAGCTCAGTTATACAAGATAATGCCAACAACATCTTGGCATATGTACATGAATGGGGAGTCAAAAATAAACTCAAATTCGCGCCACATAAAACAAAGGCTATGATTATAACCAAGAAGCTTAAATATGAGACGCCACATATACAAATGGGAGGAACTGAGATAACATTAGTGGAAGAAATGAAACTACTCGGCCTTACAATTGACCACAAATTGACTTTCCAGAAACATGTGCAACTAGTTTGTCGCAAAGCCGCTAATATCTACAAGCAACTCGCACGTACAGCTAAAATTGAGTGGGGACTAAATCCGGGGATTATCAGGACAATATATGTAGCAGTGGTAGAACCGATAATCTTATATGCAGCTAATGCGTGGGCCACAGCATCAGAAAAAATTACCATTCAAAAACAGCTGAATGTAATCCAGAGAGGATTCGCGCAAAAAATGTGCAAAACTTACCGAACAGTCTCCCTAAATGCCGCACTACTCCTATCACGATTGCTTCCTCTAGATCTTCGGGTCCAAGAAGCAGCCTCTCTTTATAAAGCAAAGAAAGGTGAACCTCAGGAGAGAATAGGTTATAGGAAGATAGAAGGTAGAGTCTGCTTCCTAAAGGCACAACATCCAGCCAAGGAAGTAGAAATCACATACGAATGCCTGGAAGATACTCAGCCTGAAACACTTAGGAAACACAACATCATGGGTGATCAAATTTACACAGACGGGAGCAAAATTGAGGGTAAAGTCGGAGCAGCGTTATCCTGTTGGTATAATGGCACTGAGATTAAAGCCAAGAAATTTAAATTAGAACCGTTCTGCACCGTCTTTCAGGCTGAACTGTATGCAATTTTACAGGCGACAAAATTTGCACTGGAACATAAAGTGACAACAATTAACGTTCTCAGCGATTCTAGATCAGCTCTGGAACTGATTCGTAATGGAAACTCGTATCATCCTCTAGTTAAAGCCATTAAGAAAAACATCATGCTCGTTAAGGAACAGGATAAAACGATCCGCCTGTTTTGGATTAGGGCCCACGTCGGAGTTACGGGTAATGAGCGAGCCGATCAACTAGCGAAAGAGGCTGCGTTATATAAGAAAACTGCACCTGATTACGACAAATGCCCCATTTCGTATATAAAACGACAGATTCGACTGGATAGTATTGAGAAATGGAAAAAGCGCTACATGAGTTCGGACACCGCCGCGGTAACAAAAATGTTTTTACCAGATATAGAGGCAGCGTACAGATTATTGCAAAAGTTAGAACTTAGTCCAATCTTAGTACAGGTACTTAACGGTCACGGTGGTTTCTCAAGCTATCTTTATAGGTTCAAATGTAAAAATTCCCCAGAATGTGTTTGTGACAGTCAAAAAGAAGAAAGTGTAGAACATTTACTATTAGAATGTCCTAAATACTTACAAGATAGATTTAAATTAGAAATGGTTACAAATATGCAACCTAAAAAAGAAAATATTAGTAAATTGTTAGCATGTAAGAAGCATAGAAATAGGTTTATAACATACTGTATAGATATAGCAAAAGATGTAATAAATAGAAATAAGACTAAGTAAGAAGTATATGATAATATATACTGTGTTATATATTTAGAATATACTAACTAAAATAGATATAAATATAAAAGATAAAATTGTGTAAAATCTAACTCAGCAATAATAACTATAAGCATAATTGTAACACATACACTAAACCAATAAAAAAAAACAAAGCAGACAACGCACACACACAAAATAATAAAAAACACAAACACAGGAAATTGTAAAGATACTTACGATCTTCCCACCATCCAACAGAACAAGGGCGGAAAAAAAAAAAGTCGTCGAAGCCCGTACATAGTTGAGGAAAGTCTCCGACCTGTGTTGGAGGACACCTTAGCGGTGCACACAAGAAAAAAAAAAATCCTTTCCTGTATGTACCAGAAACGATGAAACGCATAATTGATACCACGGTGGTATTGTAATTACCTGGACACGTGGTGGGGGTGGCTGGGGCTGGGGAGCAGATTGGGCACCGTGATCCCGACACGTACTTTCGCTGAGGGCTTGCAGCGGAGAGTATGTACTTCGTGCGCACCCATCATTCTAATTAAAAAACAATAATAAAAACTTGATGTTGTATTACAAAGTAAACTTCAAAATGTACGACGTCTTTTATTGGAATAGGGTGTCAATCTAGCATACAATCTATCTGATGGTATGTGGATTATGTGTTCCATAGATATCTACATTTATCCTCGATTAAGAATCAAAATTCAGATCCGTTATCACCCGTAAGTAAGGAAGCTATTTCCAGAAAAAAGGGTCTCCAGTTCTCTACACTCACCATACGAAACACAGCAGCGTTAAGCTGCTATTTTACGCTGGTATTCTGTGAGAGCGTGGTCCATGCCCGGTCGAGCGGACCCATTCGTGCTACAACCATAATATAACTGCAGCATGGCTCGATCACGTATAATTCAATAAACACACCGTATACTTGTGGTGTAAGAATATCTAGTATCCCATATCGTATATCGTGTAGGTGTTGTAAGTGGCGACAGACGTAAACTGAAACAGGTTATGGGCAGCAGCAATTCAAAATACCTGCCAAGTGTGTTAAAGTATTCTGTATGCGGAAATCTTTTAAGAAGGTCTAAGTTCAGCAGACTTTATAGGCTATAATGGAAGGATAAATGGAATAAATACAAGATAACTGGTATTTGCTACTATTTATTGTAGTCCACGAAATCTTCCTGGCGTTTCCTTACATGATCACTACCGACACTAAAGTCTACCGATCTATCACTCTGAATCTTGCTAAAGTTAGATGTTTTATCAAAATGAACTTGCCCGGGTTTGATCTTCTGACTTCTAACGTTATTTCGTTTACAAAACTAATTCTAATATACCTCAACGTAAAGACCAAAGAGTTCTTATTATAGGTTAAAACGTGTTAGTGCAAAGCTGCAGGTATATTATGGTTGTAGCACGAATGGATCAGCTCGACCGGGGACCAGACTCTCATAGAGCACCAGCGTAAAATAGCAGCTTAATGCTACTGTGTTTCGTATGGTCAATGTGAGAACCTGAGGCCCTTTTTACTGGAAATGAGGCATTCCATCTTAATCCTCAGGGGTGACAACGCAACTGCATTTTGATTCTTAAATGTAAATATCTCTAGGCCACTGAATCCACTAACCATCAGGTGGACTGTATTTACCGCTTATCAGTCTTATTCTATAAAAAAATGTTTAAAAATGCAATAATAGCTTAATGTTTAATGATACGAGGACTACGAAACTAAAAGGTCGTGGGTTATATTAAATAAAAAAAATCTAATCAACGTCAACGTCAATAGCGAGATATCTGGCACGGTGATTGCTAATGCACTAACGTTCGATAACAAAACGTAACGACTAAGTAATTAAATACTTTGGTAATACTCATGTCATGGAAGGCCAACGACCAAGGCTATATTAGACCAAGGATCTTGAATATTATAAGCGTTGAAAATTCGATCTAAGCTGTGTATTAAATACCGTGTTATCCAACTACAGACAATTAGAAAAATAACTTTTTTTCTTGATTAGACTAGAAAATGTTCAGCAGAAAGTAAAGAAAAACAATTTTTAATTCTCTTTAGAAAAGAGTACTGTAATAAACTTGATACTGGCAATAAACGCACATCTCCGATGGGATGGTGCAGAGGAGGTAGAGACGGTATTTGATCAGGATCTCGGCCAACTCGCTCTGCGATAGACTGCTGTAAGAAGCTGCTCCGTAGACAATGATTACTTGGCAGTCCGCCTGCGAAAGAAAATAGATAACAATTTAAACTGGCAAGAGAAAAAATAAGAATAGGCGCTTTAACTTAACTCACTTATAAACAGACTATGAAAAGAGCTATAAGAATCATATAAATAACTTGTTAATTTATAATTATAAAATTAATAAAATATACATTATTTTTTACACGTGGTAGAGCCATGCTGCAGCTATATTACTAGTATAGTTGTAGCACGAACGGATCGGCTCGACCGGGTAGGAACACGCTCTCACAGAATACCAGCGTAAAATAGCAGCTTCATGCTGCTGTGTTTCGTATGGTGAGTGTAGAGAACCGGAGACCGTTTTTACTGGAAAAGAGGCATTCCATCTTAGTTCACACGGTTAACAACGCATCTGCATTTTTATTCTTTATTGAGGATGGATTAGATGTCTATAGGTCACAGCAACCACTTACCATCAGGTGGACTGTGTGCTCGTTTGTCACCCTATCCTATAATATGAATGGCTATACTTAGCCTTTGAGCGAGAAAAGATAGCCCCTTTTATCACCAGCAGCGACAACCAGTCGCGGTTACAATTACTTTAGAATAGAATAGAATAATTTTTATTCAATATAGATCACATGAATTTCTTATTGAAAGTAATTTTTTACTTTTACTACTAATTCGGAGGAAAAACCTCTGTCCTGGGAAGAACCAACAAGAAACCTAGCGGGACTTTTTTTTTAAACATAACTCACAATATAATATTTCTACACTTGTTTAGGAGTTTAAGAACTTCATCGCACGTGGACCAATAGTCTCTACAGCAAAAAAAACACATTTTTTTTTTATTATATTTGAGTGCAAACTGGTCTAATGGTCGGTTCTGGATTCGAATCCCGGGTTGGGTCAAAATCGGTTATTGAGTTTATCTGTCGAGAAATTCACAGTAGCAGCAGAAATTGGCAGTATTTCACCCCGTGCCTCGGAAAGCACATAAAGCCGTTGTTCCTGCGCCTGATCTTTCTCCGGTCGTGTCAAATTATCGTCCCATCGGACTATGAGCGTGAGGGAATAGAAAGTGCACCTGTCCTTGCGTGTACCCTTGGGCACTATAATCTTGTCCTGCACAGACGGTTACTCTCCGTTGAAACGGGCCGCCGTGACCGAAACTCAGTCTGGCTGACATTATTAGAGTTAATTCAAGGATAAGTAGAGTCTAATTCAATTGTCCCGATGGAATCTCATTTACGCATTTATAACATTTATAACACCCAGGGCGACGGTGAGCGTCAAAAATACTCACGTCTGGTAATGTGATCATCAACCCGCCTGCCAAGCCTGCCTCTCATATCCAACAGGGATATCTCAGATCCAATTGGGTGACAAACGAGCACACAGTCCACCTAATGGTAAGTGGTTGCTGTGGCCCATAGACATCTACATCTATCCTCGCTTGCGAATCAAAATGCAGATGCGTTGTCACCCGTGAGGACTAAGATGAAATGCCTCTTTTCCAGTAAAAAGGGTCTCCGGTTCTCTACACTCACCATACAACGAAACAGCAGTGTTAAGCTGCTATTTTACGCTGGTATTCTGTGAAAGCATGGTCATTCCTTGTTTGAACCGACCCATTCGTGCAACAACTATATTACTTATATAGCTGCAGCGTGGCTCTATGTTTTATTTTTTTATTAATCAGATTAAAAATAAATTAACCAAACCAAAGATATTTATAAAAGTAAAAAAAAAACTCTCAGGCACTGTTTTGTGTATTAATATAATACTCTAGAAACTTATAAACTTTTATTTATAAATGACATTGTGTAACAAAAAACTTCACCTCAGTGTGTACTAGCGACATCTGGTGAGCGGAAGATTATTAGCCCTCATTGGTGCATACACTTAAGGCTTTATACAATGTAACCGCTAAGTATACGAACAACCCTCATAATTAAGTAAAACCATAGCAGGAGTTCTGTTACTATGTACGAAGTTCATTAAACCCCATCCGAAATGTTTACACTTCAAAGTATACATTTGCATTAAATTTTAATTTATAAGTACTCATAATTCACGAAAATATCTTTTATAAAACGAAGAAGGAACCATTTTATACGATTTGACTTCGTCGATATTGACAGAACTGCCCGATAGCATACGATGTTATGTACCTACGTTGTCTATATAATTTAAAATTGACAGCTCATTTGCGCCAGCTCATTTGGTCAGTATCTAAGCATGCGATTGTAACACTTCGGGTCATGGTTTCGAATCCTGCATGGAACCAGCATTTTAATGGCCTGCAAATAATTGCATATGTCACAGTCAAAACTCATAACCGGTTAAAACCACTTTTGACTGCAGAAATCAGGCAAACATAGTTTTGACCGACGCCTTTAGTCAAAAACAGGTTTGCCTGATTTTTGTAGTCAGTTTTGTTGTGTCAGTGTTGTCTGATTTAAACTTCAGACTCTCGGTCAAAACTCGCAATATCAGTAACAGTAGGTTAAAGTGTGGCTAGGGTGGCCCTTGAGCCACCCTAAAGCCGCGTACATTATAATGATATATAATATAATATAATATTGTTGATCAAAACACTTTTAACCTATGTAATTTGGTCAAAATCACTATTACCCAGTAATTTAAAAAAAAAGTGGATTTGACCAACGTCCTTAGTCAAAACTACTTTTGCCTGAGTTTTTACAGTCTAAAGTGGTTTTGACCGGTTATGAGTTTTGGCTGTAATATATCCATGTAAATCTGATAAAGCCACTCCACAATACATGAGAAAATACTACTACATGCCACTAACTTTTTTTAAATTACTAGGAAATCATCTACCATCCATCTTTTTACCATCCATCAAACTTAGATATAAATTCAAGGCTAAGCAGAAGTATATTTAAAGCTTCGTTTACATGCCATGACAGAGATACTCGTTTGTCTGAACCTATGTTGTTAAATAGAATCGGAGTTAACACGTTTAATTTGTCTTTTTGACTGATACTGTAGCTAAAGATGGATTTTAAATAAGAACCGCTTTTGCTAACTTTAAAAAAAATTTAACTCCACGCTAGGTTTTCTCCTGTATCGTGGGGGTGTTAATTCTTTAGCAAATTAATGTAAATGAATTTAGATGGATTTAGAAATAAAATGTTGATTTCGTCTGATCACAACTGTATTCAGGTTTAAAGTGAATGGTAACATATGCGATGCGACACATTACAACAAAATAATTAAAAATTAAAAATTTTGTTCAACCGATTTCAATATAAATTATTAAGAATAACTCATAAACTATTAGTCAGACCTTAAAAAAATTATATGGGACCACATGTGAAGCACCAGCTTTCAAATAAAAAAAAGAATCATCGAAATCGGTTCACTCAATAAGAAGTTATGAGGTAACACATATAAAAAAACATACAGTCGAATTGAGTACCGGCTCCTTTTTGTAGTAACAAAAAACAAATTACAATAAAATAGATACAATAAATTTAATTTTCTAGAAGTTTAGTAGTTCTTACAGACAATAGATGGCACTGCAACAGGGGGCTGTTTTGAAGGACAAACATTCAGACCTGGAACAATTATTTGTAGGCCATACGAATACTTGTTTCATGTGGGATGGAACCCGCGGTCCTTATCGCTGCAACTCATTGCTAAGGCACTGCGTCACGGTGCCGTCAATCCGTCCGTTCCTCCCGATGGTAGGACTCTTCCGCCCAGTACTCCGTTAGGATAGATAACACCCTTTTACCATTGAGTTATATGTACTACGTACCAGAGAAGCCATTCTAAACAAAAAATGTGCACTACTCTATGTATGTCTTCGCGCATGCGCGGGAGATAGTAGAGTCGCGCAGTTGATTAAAGCGCGTTGCGCCTGCGCCATCAGTTTTTAACCTAAAATTTTATTTGAAATCTTGTATTATTAGCGCCCCTTCACACTGCATGTATATTGAAACCACAGACTAACTAGTAGATTGAAACCACACTAAATGACACCCTGTACGGATTGCAGTACAGTTCAGCTGAACATAGTGTATGTTCGGAATGCGAAATCTAGTACATAGTACATATATATCCATGCCTTATACCAATACATGCCGCCAAGTAGTAATATGTGCACCGCTATGTTCCTGTGTAAAGAGTATGAAAAGATATTATAATTATAGACTATGAGGCACGCCATCTTAGTCTTGAGAGTTAACAACGCACCTAGCCTTCTTCGTTTCAAAATGTTTGCAGGTGTTCTTGGGTTGCTAGCGGAAGAACTTAAGAACTACCTTACCATCGGGTAGACTGTAAATTCGTTTTTTTTTGTTACTTCAATTTTTATCAAAAGAACTGAGTGTATAAAGTCGGTATACTAACTACTAGACCATGCGATCGTCAAGTTAAATATATAACGGGACGTCAACTCGACATTTCGTAACACACACCATATTATTGAAGACCGCCTGTGCCGTTGCTTGTCCAAACTTAATTCTTATCGTTTGAAAGTAACTGGTATCATCATTATCATACACAAAATCCTCATAAAAGAGACACCACGAAGCCTGATGTTTACACTACACACCAGATGCTACCTGCTGACTTGCGGCAGTCATCACTCTATCTACCAGGGTTCGCCGCAATAAACTATATTTTCCAATTACACGATCAATATTCACTATTCAATTTAAAAACAAATCTGGCATAATCGACAACATGCTGCAGAGTAAAACTTTGGCACTTCACAATACGTTACTCACTGATTGTATAATATGATATGCGACTCATAAAAGTGTTCATTTATTTATTATACACATAAATTACAATTGAACAAATAGACAAAAAAAATAAACGGCAGCATCATAAAAATCTTATAGCGTCCACTCCGTGGCGGACATCTCACTCAACTAATTGGTATAATGGCGGGAAACTCGAAACGTATTCAAAATGTCTGCAATAATTTCATTGCACGTTGTCAAGACGGGATTATAAATAAAGCAGGTGATGAAAAGGATACTTGCGTAGGAACGACAATGA